ACACAGCCATCTATATTCTTTTCTATTCTTGGCTGATGTGTTCATCCCCTGCACCATGCTGCATCTGGGACTTCTGCCGGACAAAATATGCTCTCCTTTTGAAATTTGTTCTAACCTCGAGCTGACAAGCCTGACCTCAAACTTTGGCCTGATTCTATAAGCCTGTATAGCAATGTCCTTAACTAGAGCTGGAGAAATACCTGTGTTGACTCTGGTTTTCTGCTCACATTAGCGACTACACTGATTAAGAGCTAACCTGGAGGAACTGTCTCTGCTGCTGCCTTGTGAAGGTGTTACGCACTTTCCAGTTAAGTTTATCTTAGATCTCATCTTTAGAGGGGCCTAGAAAGAAACTCTGCCTGCCTTTTCCTTTTCCCCATCACAGACCAATTGATAATTAGCACATACTGACCAGTAAAAGAAAACCCCAAAACTGAATTCATAGAGAATGAGGAGACTTAGTGAGAAAAAGCTTTTGGAGAAGATATCAGAAAAGGTAACGGAGGACTCGTCAGTGCCTGAGGCAGTTTGGGAATTGAGGCACGCAGTCCAGGGCTCGTGGCCTCGCCGTGGTGACGACTGAGTCCCCGCAGAAGGAAGGAAAGAGTGCAGATTTCAGCCCGACACCCTGACGGGCTGTCGGAGTCCGGGGTACAGTCCAGAGGCCTTTCGAAAAGCATCAGGGAGTGGCCCTGACCAGAATTTCTGAGGCGCCCTAAGACTTCTCCCAGTCTCACGCGATGGGCTTAGTCCGCGAAAGGAAACTGAGTCTGGACAAAACCGACATTCCTGGAACCAAGCAGCCCAGCTCCAGGGGATCAATTTAGCCAAACTCAGCAAGCCTCGCCCCTGAGTCTTAAGACCGGCAGCCGCGCTAGACGCATTTAACTGGCTGACAGGGACCCGGTGTTTCTTTTTCCGAGAGTTACTAATTGTGGAGAGCTAGTGTCTCTGAAAAACAGGATAGAGAGTCCACTTTGCTCACCATCCGACGAGATGGATGTCTGGAGGCTGGCAGGAGATCTCGCTGGTAAAATCCGAGTCACGGCACCAAAACTGTTGCAGGAATTTTGACTCCGAGTATGGCAGCAACCTCAAATTCTTGTCTCGCAGGAAAGAAGAATTTTCATGCGGACACAGTTTAGTTTTAAAGCAGGATTTATTAGAAAGGCTGAGAAAAGAAGACTCCCGTCCTAGCGACGGGAGGGGGTTTTGAGATAGAAAGGACCCTTACCTCCTGCCAGTGGCAGGAGGAAAAGGACCCCAGTGCTCTGCCATAGTGGCAGGAAGACAAGAAGCCAAAACCCTAGTGCTCTGCCATAGTGGCAGGAGGAAAATGAGAACCCTAGTCCTCTGCCATAGTGGCAGGAGGCAAAGAAGAAAAACCCATATTAATGGTGGGGAATGCACCTTTTAAAGGTTTCCCTCAAAGATGTTTCTCCATAAACAAAGAAAATTCCTGATTTCCAAGGTACCTGGCCTTGGGACAAAAGGTCACAGAGATACCAGACATAGGACATTCCAGGCCTTAGGCGATGTGTATTACTCCTTTCAATGATAAAGAGATCAGCCTGAGGCCCTCCCACAATAGCTGAGGTAATAGCCGATACTTCAGGTGGGGAATTGATATGCTAATTGGAAGAGACACGCTCTGGTGAGTCCAAGACATGGTGGGGAAATTCTCTTCTACTCGGGGACCCAGAATACCCTAACTGCCTACTACCCACTCTAACTCCTCTCTCACTGTGATGGGAAGGGTAGTGGAAGGGCCTGGTTGTACAGCTACCTAATTTCAAAAGAGTAGGAATACAGCTGGAGCTCCCCTCAATAACTCATTTTTATTCTGTTTATACTAGTTCCATTTGGTTAGCCAGTATGTAAACTCTTGGAGGACAGAGGATTGCGTTTTATTCATTTTATACTCCCTGGTCTTAACACAGTGCTTTCGATCTAGACAGCGTGCAACCAGTATTTGTGGGATAATGAATTCATGTAAACCTAGAATTTTTAAGGTTAAGCATTCTTCCAAATATAAGAAATCAAGATAAATGTTCTGAAAAAGGTGGAGTATGAGAGCAATATGGCAGAATATTTGAAATACTGCCCCCCTAAAATGGTGAGTGATTTGGATTGTTTCAATTACAGCATGTAGGCTAGGCATTCCAACCCTGTAGTTGGGTCTGTAAATGGAATCCAGGAGTCCTGAAATAACATCTTCACTTTTGCTCATGCCCAAGGAAAAGTTTGCCTTCTTCCCCCACTGTGAACGTAGGCAACAAATCACAGCAGAGTCAGCCCAGCCCTACACTCAGTCAGCAGCACAAATCAAACCTTTATGTACCACATGACAGTTGTTACAGATGCCTGGCAGTGTCTTCCCATCACTCAGACCTGCTGCAAAATCTTGGCATATAATGCCAATCATGATTGCGTAATAAATGTTTTAAAATCTATTTGCTATTAATTGTGCATCGATGTAAATTACTTCCTTCGCAATGCTCTGTATTTCATTTTATGCACGGAGAAAGTCAAGATCCACAGCTTTGGGCCCGGCACGGTGGCGCAGTGGTTAAAGTCCTTGCTTTGCACGCCCAGGAACCCATGTGTGCGCCGGTTCTAATCCCCGCGGCCCTGCTTCCCTTCCAACTCCCTGCTTGTGGCCTAGGAAAGCAGTAGAGGACGACCCAAGGCTTTGGGACCCTGCACCCACGTGGGAGATCTGGAAGAGGCTCCTGGCTTCAGATTGGCATAGCATTGGCCAATGAGTTGCACTCACTTGGGGAGTGAATCATCGGAGGGAAGATCTTCTTCTCTGTCTCTCCTCTCTGTATATCCGCCTTTCCAATCAAAATAAAATAAATGTTAAAAAAAAAAAAAGATCCACAGCTTTAACCAGAATCACAACAGCACAAAATAGGTGAAGAACCCTTGAGCTAGAGGTAGATTTTTGTGAGACTAAAATAAAGTTTAAGCTTCAAGATCCTTTAGCTCTATCATTGTATTTCCAAGAGTGTTACCAAATTTGTATTTGTCACATTATATTACTATATTTTCCTGAGTTCTGTGAGTTTCACAGCCAGTAACACAGCAGTTGGCTCCACCAGATTTAGCTGGCAACTGGGCACGTAGCAGGTGCCTTAGCTCGGTTTGTGCTACGACTTAAAGTCATGGGAAACAGACTCCTTCCAGTTCTGCAGGTTGGAGGTCTGTAAACGAGGGGTGTATCTGAGGAGGGTTTCTTTTTTTGCTGTGTCATCCAGCGCGGAAAAGCAAAGGGAAAGCGCAGACATCCACACAGCACAGCCCCAAGCCCTTTTCTAATTGCCACGTGAGGGTGGGGCCCTGCTGACCTAGGCACCTCCCACCAGGCCCCGCCTCCCCACACTGTGGCTTTGGGGGAAATCGGTTTCCAACACCTGCTCCGACGGGGGACACTTTCAAACCACAGCACTAGCTTTCCAATACTTCAGTTTTGGTGTAGAGTCCTGAGAAATTCAACCATCCGCAAGCCTGTCTGAAAATTCTGCAAAGCATTGGATCCCTTCCACTGCCTAAGCGGCGAGCAAGTTACAGTGAGTTCTGTGGGATGAGAGAGATTTGGGACTAAAGCGAGAAACAAAATCAGAAGGGGTGAAAGGTGAGAAATTGGTTTAGGAACAACAGGAATTAATCTCTATCCGGAATTAACCTCTTTTGGTCACACAGATGAACAGATCTATTCCCATCTACGTTACGATTATTAATTAGCTCTAAATCCTGTGGGAAAAAAACATCGCTGTCCTATCATTTCATTCCCACTTCAGCGATTTCCATCCCAACCCCGAGCCGCCACCGACGATGTATGGAAACGAGCCAAGGACGGAAGGCGGCAGTTTTCCAAACGGTTCAAAGGGATGAATTTTTTTCCCCCCCACACAAAAATTCTTCAGCGAAAACGACAGAGCCAAATCATCTCTGAAGTCGCCTTCCAGTCAGACTCTAAAGGACGACCTGAGGAGAAGCGCGAGCGCGCGGCCATGGGCGTGTCTGTAACCAGCGCCAGCCGCGGCGGGGCGAGGAAGGCGTGAAGGCCCCGGCGGCCCCGGCGACGCGGCGGGAGCGCCATGGCAGAGCGGGGCCGGCACGGACCGTGGGGAGGCGGGGCTGCGGGGCCGGCCACGCGGCGCGAGGCCTAGACATGCCGCCCGGCTCCGGCAGCAGACGGCGAGGGAGGAGCTTCGGCCGAGCCGGGGCCTGAGGCCCCGCAGCCTCGCCGCCGCCAGGGGCTTCTACCACAGACCCCTTTGTGTGCCTGCCCCCGCCCCGGAGGGGGCCCCAGCCAGCGGCGCTGAGGACCCTCATTGGCTCTGCCGACAGCTGCCACGATTGGCTCCCGGGACGACCGGCGTGGTCCGCTTCCCTCTGTTGCTATTGGTCGGCTGAACTGCCAATCCTGCCTCCTCGTGAGGTGATTGCCCGGCATCTCAGAGTCCCTGGAAGCAGTTCCGGGAAACCCCGCGTGCTGCTGGGATCGCGTCTGTGTCCATGAGGAGGGGGAGGGGGTGGCGCGCGCGCCATTTCTAGTCGTTTTCAAAGCGCCTCGCGCTGATTCTCACGGGCCCGGCCGCCGGCCCCTGCTCTGCCCGGGTGAGTCTCGCGCCGGCCCTGGGGGGGAGGGGCCGGGAGCCCCGATCCGACGCGACTCGGCCCGGCCCGGGCTCGGCGCCTGGTCCCCCGTTTGGTTTTCGCTCCGAGGCCCCGGGGTGGGGGTGGGGATGGGCTGGGGGTGGCTTCGGCCTCGTCCGGCCGCGCAGCTGTGGGCCTAGCCCTGCCGCGGCGGCGCCGTTTCGCGCTCGCTCATCCTGCTCCCGCCCCTCCATCCCCGGCCCTGCGGCGCGGCCTGCCGGCGCTGGCCCGGCCTTTTTTTTTTTTTTTTTTTTTTTTTCCCGCCTCCGCCCGTCCGCTCCATGCGGCCGAGCCCGGGCTCCGGGAGAGGCTGAGACGCCCACGGTTCCCATCGCTTCTTCCCCACCCGAGTCCGCTGTGTAGGTTCGGGTCTCCACCGACCCGCACCCGAGTGGGACGTGCGGCTCTTCGGGATGGGCCTGACGGGGTGCGGTGGACGAGGGCGGGGTGCCCAGGGCTACCCCAGAGGAGAGAAAACTTTTGTGTGAGCGAAGGCGAAAGGCCGATTTCTGTGGGGAGCCTTCGTACGCCCCCTCTCCCCACTCTGCATGTTTCGAGCTGAGATTTGAAGGAAAAAATGACTACTAGAGGCTGTGAAACTTAGGCGTCCTGCAGCGCCCGAGGTAGTTCGTTCTGAGAATGTCAGAGGCGCCCCGAACTGGAAAGGCGATTCTCTCTCTCTTCTACGGTAGCGACCGTATTGCCAGAGCCGAGAAATAAAAGCTCAATCCTTGCACACCACTGGTGTGAGATTTTTTTTTTTTTTGCTGTCCTCCTGAGACTGTTAGATTGGTGTCTCCCCTGCTCAGTCCTAGAGTAAGGGTTTGACGCGCCTAAGCCGTGACATAACCGTTAGTTTTCATTTCGTTGGTTCTTCTCGAGCCCGTCTCTTAACGTGGAGAATTTGTACAGAAAAAGCCAGGCAGGAACTAGCGCTGATTTCCCAAAGCTCCCAACAGTCCTTGGACATCTGAATACAATTTTTACTTTTTGCTAAAATGTTCAAGATTGAATGACCCCAGTTACATTAAGTCTGTTTGCTGCATCCAGAAATATGGTTTGGCTGTGTGGCATCGTGTTGAATTGACATGAGTTTTCAGAGGTCTCCATGAAACTTTTTTTTTTAATGAGTGCTTTGTATTTGGCTTGAGAGGTTTTTTTCTCCCCTTTGATCTGAAGGTTTTATTTTCTGCAATCCAATTATCTTTTTTTGTTGTTAAAGTTTACAAACTTTCAGACTATTTTAAGTAATTTCAGTATCAACTTGTGGAACCTTTGCAGGGAAGTGGTAGTCAAATATTTCTATCTTGTGCTTACTACAAACTATATTGCTTTAGACTTAAGAAAAGCCAACACCATAACAGAGGTTCCATTGTACTTGTCTGTTAAAAATTCGCCTCTTTTCTGTGACTAATCGTATTCCCACTAATAATGTAATGCGGAGGGCTCTTGTGATCCTGAGAACTTCGGAGTTGTGATGATCTGGGTGGGACAGCATGGGGACAAGTGGGACTAGCAGTAACGAATATTCTGGATCTTGGGGTACATCTTTGTAGAAGCAAGTTGTATTAATCAGCCAATGGATTAATTCATAGGATAGTTTCTGCATCAAAAGTTGCAGTTTTGGGTGTTTCTGGTTTTGCTAGTTCATCAGAATTTGATGCTTGCCTTGAGAAACATTTGCCCAGCATTTAACCAGTATGTGTCTGTATTAAACAGAAGGCTTGTCAAGCCTGAATGTTTTCTAATCATGATATCATGTATCTCATTGTCAGAGTTAACACTTCATGTATTTTCCTTTCTTCCAACTTTGTTACCTCCTGCCCTTGGTCTTCCTCCCTCTTTCATTAACTTCAACTAAATATGAGTGGAAAAGCAAAAGTTTTAAGCCAGAAAACTGTACCTGGTGCGGTGCGTTTGCACCATGTGTGATAAGCTGTCTGAATGCGGTGTCTGATGGGTCTTAGTACTCTGTGGGAGACTTGGATTTTCTCTCTAGCCGGTGAGGTGTCTTGAGTTTCATCAAGAAGCAGGCTTTTCCTTGAGATCCCCCTTCCTGTGTTTTATGTTGCAATGCCTTCACTCCACAGCCTGTTATCTTCCTGCACATTGTAATGTCACCTCAGATAAATGCTTTGTAATAATTCTGTGCTTTTGAGACAGTGTAGATACTGGTCTTGTATGGTTTTATTCTTTCCAGGATGTTGATCTACTTCAGCATTACTTATAGGCTGAACATACAAAATGATTTTTGGTAGGGAATCAGAAATTCTGGCCAAGTGTATCCTAATTAGGTAATGTTTATTGGAACAACTTGGACGAGGTTAGTTGGCCATTATTCAGTGTGGTTTTGCATCTCTATTTTACTGACATGGAAATTGTACATGTATTCATGCTTTTTATTTTTTGAGAAGCAACCTTAACTGTAGCTCACTATTTTATGTGAACTTAAATTGTTTAGTTCTTAAAATTGGTCATTTTTTCTTTTAAATCTGTGAATGGAAATAGCAAATTAATCTTAGAACTATATTGTCAAACTTCGTGGTTTTTGCTTTTATTAAGTGAGGTGGAGAAAGCCCGAACCACCAGCATGTGGAACTAGAGACGATAGGACACTATTGTACAGCGACACTGCTTGAAGCAGGGTGAGGGAAAGCTGAAAACCTCTAAACTTCATCAAGGAGCCTGTGGGTGTTCATTCTGTTTTTAAACAAAACTTTCAAAAATGGTGTAAGAATTGAGAGCTAAGGGGCCTTTAGGATTTTGTGGTGTTATGTGGATCTGCTCACCAGAGCACAGCAGGTGCTTTGTTAATCAGCTGTTCTGCCTTCAGTAAATTAACCTAGTGTACATGAAGTTCCTTAAAGAGCTAATGCTTCCATGTACATTCTCCGGAGTTTTGCAGGATGATTATTGCAAATTTAGATCAGATGCATCACAAAAGGCATAAAATATTATTTTGATAGAGGTTTTTAGCAGCATGTATACAAATTAGTTTAGATAAATCATGCATTGTCCTACAAACTAGTTATTTCTGGCTTAATGTAATATAGCTCCTGAATTTTTTCCAGCAGCATAATAAAATGGCTAATCAGGTGAATGGTAATGCGGTACAGTTAAAAGAAGAGGAAGAGCCAATGGATACTTCCAGTGTAACTCACACAGAACACTACAAGACACTGATAGAGGCAGGCCTCCCACAGAAGGTGGCAGAAAGACTTGATGAAATATTTCAGACAGGTATAATATGCATTTCTTGTTTCTGATGGTTATGAAAGTGAGGGCAAACCACTTTGATTTTATAGACTTTTAAGGTTAATTATACTTATTGTTTTTGATCTGTGTAGAGCTGAATGTTTGTTACTTTCCCTTCACTGAGGGCATATTGGGTTTGACTTTGATATTTCATTATTTTGAAGCCTTCTTAGTGTTGAATATACAGTCTTAGTTGTTTCAGAACAGTACATCAATTTGTCTTAGATTTATCACCAGTGAATATTATGTTTCAGCACAACAAATTTTGCATTTTTTTCTTAATCTAAAGCAATCATCATTTTGCCTTTACTTTTCTACTTGTAGCTTCTAATGTGATTGTTAGATCAGATTAGGTCTGATTAGGCGGTATTATAAAAGGAGTAGTTAGAATGTGTGTCTGAACTGACAATTAATGTTCAACTCCTTGAGAAGTTGTGGTCTGTCTTGTTTCTATAACAGACAAAAATCCACATCTCTCGGTAACTTGAAATGTTTGGTTTGTTAACAGCTGCTTTAAAAAAAAATCTTTAAGTCCCATGGCTGTGTGCTTAAGTAAATTTGAACATCTAATATGGCTGGTTGTGAGTGGTTTGAAGTTTTAAAGAGGGAGAGAAATATTTACCCTTAGGGAGCCTTGTTCATAAATAAATGTGTCCTCCTCCTCTGGGGCCATAGATGGAAACTTCTTCCCCTGTGTTTTGTGTGCCTATCCAGATTCTGTGTGTGGGAGAGAGAAATGTCTCACTCACAAGTGTTGTCTTAAGTACAGTAGTAACAAATAGCCACTTTTTTTTGTTCCTAAAAATTTTTTTTTTAAAGTGGGCAAGCTCAGGATAGTTTAGGCAATAAAATGACTTATAAAAGTGACTCCTGGTTGATGGTCCCGTTTGCACATCAGTCCTCGGGAACGTTCTGTGACACTCTGTCAGAGAATTGGCAGTGATCTGTTTAGAGATGCTCTCTCGTAGAGTGTTTTGTTCCGGAGAAGAGGCGATGGTTTGGGTGCAGGCTTGGATTGACTAAACGGACTGATGGGTGTCCAGAGTTGTGGCTTTGGGTGGTGGCATGGGACAGTCAAGTAAGGAACCTCCAGTTAGATCGGCATGCTCATTTTGAGCTTTTAAGACAAATCATGACAACATTTGTTAAAGTAACTTTGCAAGTTGCATTATGCTTATTTAAAATTTATTCGCTGTGTGGAATAAAGTCTTATTTGCTTTACTAAAATGGAGTCACTTTTGATGTTAGTTCATATGGACGTGGGGGTTTCAATCTGTTAAATATTTCCATTTTCCACTGGATCAATTCTGAAACATTCTTTATATACACACAGAAATTACAAATGACAGATTATATTACACTTAGTAGATGTCCTGTGTGCAGTTTAATATGCTACATATTAAGGATACATTGAATGTCTTTTCTGTGTAGTTAATTTGTAATCCCTTATTGCCATTTGAAAGATTGTCATTATTGACAGTCTGTTTGGGAATGCACAGCATCTTTTAAATCTCAGCTTGTTATCTCGGAGCAAAGAATGCCTTAAAGTATGACTTTCAGAGTTGATTGATGAAGCTGCACTCGCAGTTGTAAAGGAGTTTGAAATTATGCCTTTCCACATTCTGACTGCAGCAAAGTAGATGCTCAGATAAACACATGCATTTCAGTTTGTGTTTGGTGGTCAAGGGGGAAAGCCTTTGATACTTTTTGGAGCGTGGAAAGAATTATTAAATAAAATTCTTGTATTTTCCCCTACCTCTTACATGGTTAACATTAATAGTCCATAATTCAAAGGTTTATTCTTGGGGAAAAATAGAGTATTTTTACCGCTCTGACATAAACCAGAGTTTGTTAAGTGAATGCTTATAATCTGTCATATATCAGATTGATTTTTCACGATTTTCACGTCTGGGGAGTTGGAAATGACTATCAGTATGATTTGTTTTTTTAAAATGGATATGGGGTTTGAAAAATGATTAAGGATGCTGACACTTTCTCGTTAGTATTCAGCTTTTCTATATAGTATTATGTGGCTACATAGGTGTATACAGTCAGATGAAATATAGTTTGTTAATGATAGTAGTGAATGGAATGATTCTTGACTAAATGTGACTTGGACAATGTAGGTTGCCCTTTTTGTGGCAATAATATCACTCCTCTCCAATTTAATTTTTAGGATTGGTAGCTTATGTCGATCTTGATGAAAGAGCAATTGATGCTCTCAGGGAGTTTAATGAAGAAGGAGCTCTCTCTGTACTGCAACAGTTCAAGGAAAGTGACTTGTCACATGTTCAGGTAAGGCATTACCCAGAACACCTCCGGACGATTCATGATCTCAAGTTACGTCACTGTTCCGGTGCTTTTCTTCCCTCCTGTGGAAAGTGTTTCTTTGATTATGACTTCCTCTGCCTTTTTTTTTTTTTTTTTTCCTAAGTAGTTTAGAGGAAAAAAGATCTGCTTGTGGCAAAGAGTTTCAGAAGCACAAGCATAAAGCAAAAGTATCCCCTTACTCCTTTGTGCAGTAAGCTTCTTTAGACACTTAAAGTCAGGGTTTAATGATTGCTACTGTTAGATTTTTACATGTTGAAATTGTTTGAATTATTAACATTTTGGGGTTATTTGATTCTGTTTTATTATCTCAGAGGGAAGTAATGTGAGTGGAAGGAATAGTTTTAGCATCTGGCACAGATAGTGCAGGTTCAGTGAAATAACAACAAATCAAAGGCATTTCCCGGGTGCTGCCTGAGGAAGGTAAGCTCTCTGAGGTCCAGCCTGTCTTCCTGATGTCCGCTCCGGTCTCTGACATGTCATTCAAATTCAGCAAATATTTGTTGAGTAGATGACTGTTTCATTAAAATTCTATGAATTTTCTGAAATGTACATATAAATTTACATATATGATTATTTGTTTTAGAACAAAAGTGCATTTTTATGTGGAGTTATGAAGACCTACAGGCAAAGAGAGAAACAGGGGAGCAAGGTGCAAGAGTCTACAAAGGGACCCGATGAAGCAAAAATCAAGGTACAACTTGACTTGGGCAACTAGAATGAAGTTACATTTAATGTGGTGTTGTCAGGGTCTTTGCATTTCTTCTCAAAATAGTCTTTATAGTTTTGTATTAGAAAGAACACACTGTAGGGCATTTTGCATAAGGATGATTATTTGGGTGGCAGCGTACACATGTATGTGTGATTACAAGGTAATCATCTGATGCTCTGGTCGCTTGTTCTGGAGAGGAGTGACATGCTTGCTGATGCTTAGATGCGGCTTGGGTTGATCCAGCAGTGCTTGTTGGTCCCGTTGCCAAGCATTTTGTTCCTTCCTCTTGGTAAATGGCTGTTATAACTGCTTTCCTCCTGAATTCTCAGCTTCCTCCCTTTATTTGTACAGTGGCAGTAGTGGTAATGCCTACCTCATACAGTTATTGTAAGGATTAGAATAATGCCTGGAATGTAGAAGGGACTACATAACTAGAAGCCATTGTTGTTGTCACTATGCTTATTACTTAGTTCTCCCTTGAGAGGCCAGTATAGGACTTCAGTGAAAAGACAGTGAGCCCCATTCCTTGGGGAGATAGTAGGACTTGGTGCATAGAGGGACTTTTTCACTTACACAGTTATTTTATTTTGGAAGCTGTTTATGTGGGTGGTTTATGTTTTAGGTGGGTTATGTAACCTGCAGTTCCTGTCAGCTAACTGACTTTGTATATATAGTCCCTTTGTACCCATTTTTCATCCTCTGTAAGTGGTGCAGAATTATAGGTTTTTAAATAATTAAATGCAAAAATTCTTGAAGTGATAGTACTGTTCATTGAATAAACCTATATGTTGTTTCCCTAAAATTGGCATTGGCTCTTAGTTCTAGAAAAGGCATATAGTATAGATTCAGTATATGTTTACATGTCACACAAATTATGCATAAGTGGTATACTTGGTATGTATTTTATGTTACACAGATTTTTGTGTCTAAAACTAGAGAACTGTGTTTGAGTCACAGGTAGAAGTTGGAAGGCCTCAGGCATGCATCCCTGGGGACTCATTGGAATTCTAAGTGTGGATGTAATGCGCTGTCTTGGTGGATTGCATTTCTCTGGTGGCCCTGGTATCTTACCTGAGCCTTCCAAAGAAAGGAGTGTTGCCTTGGGTGGTGTAAGCTCTGTGAGGACAAGCACATTATCTTTCCTATGATTTGCTTTAATATCCAACAACGTGCTTCTGAGGAAGGTTGGTAATCAGGAAACATGGTTTTGTTGGCTTGAAAACTGAATATATTCATTTGTTAATTGCCAGATATTTTGAGTCCTTACTGTTAGGAGATTGTCTGATTCCTCTGAAGTAGCATGAATATGAAATGAATACAAGGTCAAACAAAGGCTAAACTTTGGAACTTAATGGAACTTTGATTACAGTAGACTAACAAGCAGCAAGGTGGATGGGAGCAATAGGAAATGAGGATGGGAAGTAGGACTTCCTCCCCTGCCTCACAGGATTTATTTATGTGGAAGGCAGAGTTCCAGACGCAGACAGAGATCTTAGCTGATTTACTCCCCAAGTGGCATCACTGGCCAGGGCTGGGTTAGGTGGAAACCAGGAGCTTATAACTACATCTGTGTCTCCCACATGGGGGACGGGGGCCCAGGCATGTGAACCATCTTCCACTGCTTTCTGGACATGTATTAGTCGGGAGCTGAATGAGAAGCAGAGTGGCTAGTGCCCATATGGGGTTCTGATTTCATAGGTGACAGCTTAATGCACTGTACCACGGCACCAGCCATAGACTTCTGATTTTTGTAAGGCTAGAGGGCATCTTAATTCTCAAGAATCACTTGTATAATGGCAGTGAGAGACACGAGAAGTCTAATTTTTAAGTGAAGGAGTGAAAAATGAGGGGTACCATTCATACCTAAATTCAGACAGCATGGGTCAATTCATGTAGAATTTTTTAGCTGCTCATTTTTTTTCCTGTTCTCATTTATAACATAAGGTGATAGTCCTGGAGATTGAGTTTGTCTGCAACTCTTCTCATTGTAGGCGTAGAAAGGAACAGTAAAATGAATAAGAACCAGGGTGAATTTTGACCTTTAGGAATGCCTTTTTGAAAATAATGTATTAATTCATGTGTGTGTAATTATGTATTTAAGTATAAACACATGTGTAATTATCTCTAGGCGTTACTTGAAAGGACTGGTTATACTCTGGATGTGACCACAGGACAGAGGAAGTATGGCGGGCCCCCACCAGACAGTGTGTACTCAGGTGTGCAGCCTGGAATTGGAACAGAGGTAAGTGTTCTAGCTTTTTTTGCTAAAGTTTTAATAGTCTACTGTGGGATGGGGAAATACTTAATTCCTTTTGAAGTTTAGCTTTTTTTTTTTAGGATTTATTTTTATTGGAAAGGCAGATATACAGGGAGGAGGAGAGACAGAGAGAAAGATCTTCCGACCGATGGTTTACTCCCCAAGTGGCCGCAATGGCTGGAACTGAGCCAGGAGCTTCTTCCAGGTCTCTCTCACGGGTGCAGGGTCCCAAGGCTTTGGGCCCAGCGTGTTCAAGGTGAGGACTTTAACCACTACGCTATTGCACTGGGCCCAGCTATTGTATTTTTGTAATTCATTCCTGTGTTTGCTGCTAACCTGGGCAAGGATAATCTTGTTAACCAAATCCCTTAAGAAATATAGAGGGATTGGGCCCGGCATGGTGGCTTAGTGGCTAAAGTCCTCGCCTTGAACACACCAGGATCCCATTTGGGATCCGGTTCTAATCCTGGCAGCTCCACTTCCCATCCAGCTCCCTGCTTGTGGCCTGGGAGAGCAGTCAAGGACTGCCCAGAGCGTTGGGACGCTGCAGCCGTGTGGGAGACCTGGAGAAAGTTTCTGACTCGGGGCTTAGGATCAGCACAGCACTGACTGTTGCGCTCACTTGGGGAGTGAATCATCGGACAAAAGACCTTCCTCTCTGTATATCCGGCTTTGTAATAAAAATTTAAAAATCTAAAAAAAAAAAAAAGAAATATAGAGGGATTGGTGTGGCATACTGGGTAAAGCTGCTTCCTGCAATGTGAACATCCCATATGAGCTCCAGTTCATATCCTGGCTGCCTCACTGATGCAGCTTCCGCTGGTGACCTGGGAAGGAAGAGCCATGGAAGATGGCTTGGGTATTTGGTTCCCTGCTACCTTGTGGGAGAGTCAGATGACACTTCTGGCCCAACCTTGGCCATTGTGGCCATCTAAGGAGTTTTGTTGGCCTCACACAGCCTGAAAACTGGTGTGTGTGCAGAAAGACATTGGTGGCGATGGGTTGCACAAGGCAAGGATGTGGAATCAGAAAACATTTCAGTATGTTGGTGCATAAAGAAATACTTCCGGGCTTGGCACAATAGCCTAGTAGCTGAAGTCCTCACCTTGAATGCGCTGGGATCCCATATGGGCGCCGGTTCTAATCCCTGTGGCCCTGCTTCCCATCCAGCTCCCTGCTTGTGGCCTGGGAAAGCAGTCAAGGAAGCCAAAAGTCTTGGCATCTTGTATGCACGAGGAAGCTCCAGGCTCCTGACTTCAGATCAATGCAGCTGCTGCTAATGTGACAATTTGGGGAGTGAACCATTGGACGGAATATCTTCCTCTCTGTCTCTCCTCCTCTCTGTATATCTGACTTTGTAATAAAAATAAATAAATCTTAAAAGAAGAAGAACAAAAAATTTCGTTGGTATTAAGTATTTATTTATTTGAATTAAATATTAGGAGGTCTTATTAGCTACTTAGTAGAGTTCTAAAAAGTCTTCATTTATTCAGGCTCCTGCCTGGATAAATTTAAAGGAAACAACAATATCTCATGGAAATTGTTATGAATGTCGTGCTCTTAATCAGATACACAGAGGAGGAGAGACAGAGAGGAAGATCTTCTATGCAATGATTCACTCCACAAGGGATCACAATGGCCGGTGCTGCACTGATCCAAAGCCAGGAGTTAGGAACTTCCTCCAGGTCTCCCACACGGGTGCAGGGTCCCAAGGCTTTTGGGCCATCCTCAACTTCTTTCCCAGGCCACAAGCAGGGAGCTGGATGGGAAGTGGAACTGCCAGGATTAGAACCGGATCCCAAATGGGATCCTGGTATGTGCAAGGCGAGGACTTTAGCCACTAGACTACCACACCAGGTCCTAGTCTTTTTTTTTTTTTAATATTTAATAGTTCAGTATTCCTAATATTTAACATTAAAAAAGGAGTGAAAAGAATTCAAAGCATTTTTATTGATAGATGAGTCAATCTACAAATGGTGATTTTGGGGTTTGCGGTAAGGAGGCTGAACTTGTTAGTCTTGGCATGCCCGTGTCCTGTGTCTGAGTTTGTGGGAATGAGTTTTGCTTCTGCACCGATCCACCTCTACAGGTGAACACCCTGTAAGGCCGCGCCTTGTCCCCTCCTCCTGTGTGGGAGACCTGGTTGGAGTTCCCAGCTCCGGTCTTCAGCACGGCCCAGCCATAGCTGTCGCAGGCATTAACAGTGAACACTGAAAGAAAAATTACCTGTGTCTCTATTCAAATAGATAAAAACAAGCTTAAAAAAACAGACAATATGATACTTAATGTTATGCAAGGTTGATTGCATCAGAATTGGAAGTGTGAGCCATCTAGGATTCTCTGGAAGCAAATGTCATTGACGAAATGCAGGATATAGATGAATATTGCTTTGATTATCTGGTCCTCTCATTAACGCCTCCCCTGTTATCTTTAGTGTTTACTTCTGCCATGAATACTTTTGAAACCGTGTTTTTCTTTTTGTTATATATTTTGCTTTATATAAAAAAAATATTTTTATTTGACTGGCCAAGGCCCAGAACTCAGTTTGGATTTCCAGTGTGGGTGAGAGGAGCCCAACTGTTGGGGCCAACCACTTGCTGTCTCCCAGGGTACATATTTAGCAGGAAGCTGGAATCAGAGAAGTTGGGATTCATACTCGGGCACCCTCATATGGGAAAGGGTGTCTCAACTGGGACCTTCACTGCCCAGAATTCTATATAGTTGTTAAAACCAATGTGGAAATGTGGTTCAGTTTTCTCATTTGAATGCCTGCATCATTTTTTTTGTTTTGTTATTTGATTTTTAATTTTGTGGTTAGCATCAGGATTTTTTTTTTTTGAGGTTGTTCATTTATTTTTATTGGAAAGGCAGATTTACATAGAGAAGGAGAAACGGAGAGGAAGATTTTCTGGCCTCTGGCTCACTCTCCAATTGGCCCCAATGGCCAAAGCTGAGGCACTCCAAAGCCAGAAGCCAGAAGCTAGGAGCTTCTTCCGGGTCTCCCACACAGGTGCAGGGTCCCAAGGCCTTGGCCATCCTCTATTGCTTTTTCAGGCCACAAGCAGGAAGCTGGATGGAAAGTGGAGCAACCAGGACACAAACTAAAGCTCATATGGAATTTTGGCACTTATAAGGCAAGGATTTAGCCACTGAGTCATTGCCCTGGGTCCAGAACCAGGATTTTTTTTTTAAAAGATAAACCCCGGGCCCGGCGCGGTGGCACAAGTGGTTAAGGTCCTTGCCTTGCACGCCCGGGATCCCATATGGGCGCCGGTTCTAATCCCGGCGGCCCCTCTTCCCTTCCAGCTCCCTGCATGTGGCCCGGGAAAGCAGTCAAGGACGGCCCAAAGCTTTGGGACCCTGCACCCGCGTGGGAGACCCGGAAGAGGCTCCTGGCTTCGGACCAGCATAGCATCGGCCTGTTGCGCTCACTTGGGGAGTGAATCATCGGATGGAAGATCTTCCTCTCTGTCTCTCCTCTCTGTATATCTGCCTTTCCAATTAAAAAAAAAAAATCTTTAAAAAAAAACCATAAACCCCTATGTAAAATAGATTAAAACTGTAACTTTTATGCCATTCTTCTTTTTTTTTTTTTAAAGGTGGTATTTATTTTACTTAAAAGAGTTATAAAAAGGGAGAGAGTTTTTCTGTCACTCCCAAAATGGTGACAACTCCTAGAGCTTAGCTGACCCAAAGCCAGGAGCCAGCTCACCCATGTGGTTGTAGGGCCTAAGGCTTTGGGATAACCGCTGCTTTCGGAGGTCATAAATGGGGAGTAGCATTGAAAGTGGAGCAGCTGGACCCAGACTGGTGCCTACTGAATGCTGGTGCTTGCTGGTAGAGAGTTAGCTAGTTGAGCCATCATGCTGGCCCTTGCTTTCTTCAATCTTTTTTATAAAGTTTTATTTATTTTTCTTGGAAAGTCAGATTTACAGAGAGAAGGATCCTCCATCTGCTCTTGGTCTTGATTTATGCAAGGCGAAGACTTTAACCATTAGGCTACTATGCTGGGTCTTTTTTTGTTTGCTTGTTTTTCCTTTTAAGATTTGTTTATTTGAAAGGGAGAGGGAGAGAGATCTTCTACATTCTGATTTACTCCCCAAATCACTGCTACAGCTGAGCTTCCAGGTCTACACATGGGTGCCCAAGCACCTGGATCTTCTTCCACTGCTTTCCAAGGTGCATTAGCAGGAAGCTGAATCGAAAGTAGAGCAGCTTGGACTCGAACTGGTACCATCTGGGGTGCTAGCATTGTTTTACCCCATAACACTATGCCAGTTCTCTTTTGACTAATTTTTAACTCTTTAATAAGAATTAATTCTAATACTTGGTATGATTCATATTACCGAATAACAACCTAGTGCAAAGTTAGTTAATAATTATTTCACAATGATTTATAGGCATGAAGATGTTAAACTTATTCCTAATTTCATTTATGAACATAATCGTGAGGATTTTTTTTTTTTTAAGATTTATTTATTTTTTTAATTGGAAAGTCAGATATGCAGAGAGGAGGAGAGACAGAAAAGAAGATCTTCCGTCCAATGGTTCACTCCCTAAGCAGCCACAACGGCTGGAGCTGAGCCGGTCCAAAGTCAGGAGCCTCTTCTAGGTCTCCCACAAGGCTGCAGCGTCCCAAGGCTTTGGGCCGTCCTCCACTGCTTTCCCAGGCCACAAACAGGGAGCTGGATGGGAAGGCAAGGCTGCCAGGATTAGAACTGGTGCCTATATGGGATCCTGGCACTCAAGGAGAGGATTAAGCTGCTAGGCTACTGTGCTGGGCCCGGGAGATTTGTTTTTAGTGTTTATGTATGTGTGTATTTGAAAGGCAGAAAGAGAAGGAAAGCTAAATCCAGTGTGTCTTTTTAACTATTGGTTTATCTAGGAACCAGTCGTTACCGTGCTAGTTTTAAAAGATGAAACTTCAAACAGGTTGTGGAATGAACCTTTATTGTGGGTAGGAGGTTAAGCTTGCAATGTTGGCA